TGCTGGAGAGCAGCAGTAATTCTGATGAGGAAGCAGAGGAGGAGGTGTATTGCTTCATGGCACCTGCACCAACTTAGCCACTGACCATGGAGGAGGCTCGTAACGGACTGGACAGAGACAAGTGGCTAGTGTCAAGAGATGCTGAATACAACAACCTACTGGAAAATGGCACATGGGAGCTGGTGCCACTGCCGGAGGGGAAGAAAGCCATAAGCTGTGGCTGGATTCCTAGGATCAAAACTGACAACAAAGGAGCCGTGTCAGTTTACAAGAGCAGGCTGGTGGCAAGGGGTTACCAACAGAAAGAAAGGGAGGATTTCAAGGAGACCTTTGCTGCAACTCCAAAGACACCAACATTGTGTGTTCTCCTTGCTGGTGCAGCCGTGAATGGGTGGGTGATAGTTCAGATGGATATTACCACAACCTTTCTCTATGGGCTGATAGATATAGAGGTCTTCATGTCACAGCCGCCGGGTTATGAGGATGGTACCGGGCGTATCTGCAAACTAAAGAAGGCCATCTATGGCCTCAAACAAGCACGACACTGCTGGTACAAGAAGCTGTCCTCGGTGTTAGAGGAGATAGGCTTCAGGGCGAGTGCATGTGACGAGAGTCTTTTCCTCATGGGGGAGAAGGAGGCCCTTGTCATGTTCCTCGTCTATGTCGACGACATCCTACTGTTTGGGAGCAGCAAGCAGGAGGTGATGAAGGTGCAGCAGAAGCTGATGCAAAACTTCAAGTGTAAGACCTTGGGGGAGGCGAATTACTACTTGGGCATGCACATCGAGAGGGACATCAGCAATGGGTGGGTGAAGCTGCACCAGGAGAAATACATCAAGGACATGGGGCAGAAGTATGAGATTGAAGTCGGGAGGAAAGTTGCCACACCGCTTCCATCCGAGTTCAATCTCGACAAGGTAGGAGAGAATGAAGGGGTGGATCACCGAGAGCAAGCACGATTTCAGTCCGTTGTGGGGAGCTTGCTTTATGCAGCAGTGCACACCAGGCCGGACATATCATTTGCAGTAGGGCAGCTGGCTAGGGTGGTGCAGAATCCAACCGAAGAGCAGGTGGATGCAGCTGATCGAATCATTCAGTACTTGAACTCATACCCCACTGTTGGAGTTCAATACCCTGCTGTGGCACAAAGGAAGCAGAAGGGAGTAGAAGTTCTCAGGGAGAAGGGGGAGCATTTGGGAGCAAGGGAGCTGTTTCTTACAGGTTTTGCTGATTCTTCATGGGCTTCAAAGAAAGAGGATATGTCTTCAGTAGGTGGATACCTGTGTGTGATTGGGGGAGGACCCGTGAGCTGGAGGTCAAAGAAACAGGTGAAAACTGTGGGTTCATCTGCTGAAGCTGAGTACATGTCGATGTACCACGCGGCCAAGGAGCTGGTTTGGCTGCGGAAGCTGCTGGAGGAGATTGGGCACGAGCAAAAGGTACCAACCCCACTCTTCTGTGACAATTCAAGTGCCATCTCCATGGCCAAGAACGCGGTGCTGCATGGGCTTACCAAGCACATGCGCATCAAGTGGCATTGGCTGCGCAAAGAAGTGCAGAGGAGAACCCTTAAGCCTCTCTACGTGAAGACGCAACAGCAGCCGGCTGATTTCCTCACAAAGCGGCTGGCTGAGGAACCACATTGGCGTTGTGCCAAGCTGAGTGGCATGAGCCTTAACTAGGCTCATGAATGTGAGTGCAAGCAGGCGACTGCTTGAGGGGGAGTTTGTTGGCGGGGCGTGCTGGCGTGCGCGCTGGCGTGACGCGCTGGTGTGACGCGCTGGCAAGCGCGCTGGCGGGGCGCGCTGGCGTGCGCGCTGGCGTGGCGCGCTGGCGGGGCGCGCTGGCGTGCGCGCAGGCGTGCGCGTTGGCGGGGCGCGCTGGCGTGTGCGTTGGCGTGCGCGTTGGCGGGGCGCGCCGGCATTCCTGCTGGCTAGGGCGCTGGCGGGCCTGCTGGCTAGGGCGCTTAGGGCAGTCGAGGGGGGGGCGCAGGCCAAGGCTAGAGACGGCCTAAGTCTAGGAACGGCGGAGACTAGGAACGGCGGAGACTAGGTGTGGCCTAGGAACGGCGAACCTACTGCTGATACCATCTCACGAAGTGAAAACAACAGAATGGGTTGGAATGATTGGGTTGGGGTACAAATGCCTAACCCTAACTGTTTGTACCCCGTATAGAATAACCCACTAGAGGCTATAACATTTGACAACCGCAACTGCTCAAAATGATACAAAGATCATATCACTTCGTATTCGTCATACACTCGGCGTCAGGGTGGTTGGAGATTTCAGCTCGTGCAGCTGTTCTACACTAGGGGTCTACCCTCCTCCTTCAAAGGGAGGAGAAAAGGTATTTTTCGCACTGTATACGTACTTGGCAGTTCTGACAGTCTCGTAAGACTCTGACAGCACGACGGACGCACGAGATCGCTTCATCGACATCGACGGCTTCAGATTCACCGACCTCTGACAGTGTGTCAAAATATCTGCCACAATCGCCCACTGCACTATCGTCCGAATCGCGACCGCTACATGAACGACTTCAATTCAATCGCGTACTCAGTTTCGCCACTTCATTCGCAATCATCAGATCGACATCTGGGAAATTCGACGGCTGACATTCCAACTCTATTCAATTTTGCCTGGTCAACTGGCCAGCCTTACGCCAGTTCGACGGTCAACGCTTCTGTACACCATCAGATTAGTTTCAAACGAAGATCTGCAGTTTTCACGCTACCGCAAGACTCGTCTTTGTATAAGAGCACCTTATTTAGAGGGTGGAAAAGTGTAATGAATATACATTCATTACTGTAGAGGCTGCTCCTAGCGAGGACAGCCCGAGCACCTCGCGTCAATGTGGCTCAGCCAACACTTTCGCACCGAACCAATTCCGAGTCGCCCCGCACCAATCGCGACATTTCCGAGCCACGCACATCTAGAGGTTCTCGCCTAGCTAGGTTTCGCCATATAAGTGCTCATTTCTTCATTGTTTCTTCATTCTGTATTCACAGTTTCTTTATTAAGTCTTCCGCGCACTTTGTTTTAGTACAAACTCTCAGAAACAGAATACAGCGGAATGAGTAGCATTGATTGGGTTGGGGTACATATGCCTAACCCTAACTGTTTGTACCCCATATAGCATGACCCACAATAGGCTATAACATTTGACACACCCCCATAGCCTAAGTGGGGAATGCCAAGCAACAAGAAACGCAACCTAAGGTCACAAGACCAGTCACAAACAAAAGACAAAACAAGCTAAGGGTGGATCACAACGTCACCACACAGTCTGAGCGCAAACAGCGGCCACAAGGCCAGTTCAAGAGTGTATATGCAAATATATGCAGTACAAGCAAAGACAAGAGACAAGCACTCACTACTGCAGTCTACTCGACCCAGTCTCAACGAGGCCCAACTGCAGACAGAACCGGCGGTGGTCACAAGGCTGAAGAGCCTTGGTGAAGATGTCTGCAGTGTTGGCCTCGGAGGCCACGAAGTCCAGACGAGCCTGCCCGCGTCTCTGCAACTCTCGAAGGAGGAAGTACCTGACGTCGATGTGCTTCACTCTGCTCTCCAGTCGAGGCTCACGACACAGGAGAATCATCGCCCTGTTGTCAGCAAACAGGGTCGGTGCAGAGCTCGGCCGCTCACCAAGGTCAGTGAGCAGAAAGGTCAACCAGCGTAGCTCCTGAGCAGCAAGGGCCCCAGCGTAGATCTCGGCCTCTGCGGTAGAAGTCGCAACCGAGGAGGACCGAGTAGACCTCCACGAAACAGCTCCAGAACCCAGGCTGAAACAGTAACCCTGCGTAGACCTCTGAGTCTCAACGTCGTCGGCGTAGGAGGAGTCGCAGTGACCGGTGAGTACAACTGGCTGTGTCCCTCCAAGTACAAGCCCCATGCCTGATGTCGCGCCAAGGTACTTCGCCACCCTCTTAGCCGCCGCCCAGTGAACAGGACGGTGTCTCCCAGTCGCAACAAAGCGAGACAGGATGCTAAGAGGGAAGAAGAGGTCCGGGCGAGTGCACGTCATCAGGTACATGAGGCAGCCCACCAGCTCTGCGTAGGGACCACTGGGCTCGAACGGCTCGTCAGGAAAAGGCCCAGTGAGTCTGTGGTCTACAGCAAGAGGAGTGGGGGCAGGAGAAGAGTCCTGAAGCCCTGCACCATGTGTGACTGAGTCAGAGTGATGGTGCGAGCGGCTCTGTCCCTGGAGATCTGCAGGCCAAGGTAGCGGCGCAGTTCCCCAAGGTCAGTGCAGGTGTGTCTCTTCTGCAGTTCGGACTTCACCTCCGCCAGTGCAGCTGTGTCGGCTGTGGCAAAAACCAAGTCGTCAACGTAGACCAGAACGAAGAAAGGTGTGCGCCCACGACGAACAAACAGCGACGGGTCGGCGGAAGACGGCTCAAACCCGAGGTCGGAGAGAGTAGAGCGGAGAGTGTCGTGCCACTCACGGGGTGCCTGGCGGAGACCGTAGACCGGTCGTCTGAGGCTCCACTGGGTCCCAGGCGGGAAAGTGCCAGTGAAGCCCGGAGGACGACGCAGCCAGATCTCCTCGTGTAGGCGGCCCTGGAGGAAGGCAGTGGAGAAGTCAAGAGAGTGAAGCTCGTAGTCTCTCTGCGCTGCTACGTGCAGTAACACCCGAAGAGTGGTCATCTTCGGGGTGGGCGCGAAGGTCTGAAAGAAGTCAACTCCCTCACGCTGACTGAACCCTCTAGCCACGTAGCGTGCCTTGAAGACTGGGGGAGATCCCGGCGGCCGCTTCACCTTGAAGATCCACATGCCGTCAACGATGTTCGCCCCTGGGGGGGGAACCTCGTCAACGTAAGTGCCTGTGGACCTGTAGGAGGCCATCTCTGCGTCCATGGCAGCTCTCCACTGAGAGGCCCAAGGCCCTGACACTGCCTCAGCGTAGGTGCGAGGAGTAGGTATGTCAGGAGCGTCGGGGTCTCCCTCAGGAGTGAGCAGCATGGCACAGAGATGAGGTGAAGCAGCTGCCAGGAACTCTAGCTCAAACTGTCTGTCCTCTAGGACGTCACAGCCAAGGGCAGACTCACCCCCGGCGGACAGAGGACGGACAGGAGGAGCGGCCACAACACGAGTGGCGTAGTCAAGGCGACGCGTAGCAGTAAAGTCAGTGACAGCGGCAGTGAGGACCGCGACGGAGGAAGGAGAGGCACGAGGGTCTGTAACAAGAGAGGCGAGAACACGAGAGAGAGTGGGGCGGTACGCGCGGTAGTAGTCAGTGACCGGAGTGGACAGGGAGGCAGTGAGGGACGACTCAGGAGGACGAGGAAGGACAGACGGAGGAGAACGAGGAGGACTAGGACGAAACAACACGGTACGGAGGTCAGTGACAGGGGACGAGGGACGAGCACGAGGAGGACGAGAGGCCCAAGTGTGGGCGAGAGGAGGGGGGGACGGAGGAGACCGAGAACGAGGGAAGACAGCCGGAGTGGAGTCCGGAGGAGGAAACGTAGGACCGAACACAGGAGGAGAGGAGGGGAGACCAAGGGCCCGAAGGCCAGAAACAGGTGCCGGAGGCTGCTCCGGCTGCTGCGGCTGCTGCTGCTGCTGCGGCGGCGGCTGCTGCTGCTGCTGCTGCTGCTGCTGCTGCTGCTGCTGCTGCTGCTGCTGCTGCTGCTGCTGCTGCTGCTGCTGCTGCTGCTGCTGCTGCTGCTGCTGCTGCTGCTGCTGCTGCTGCTGCTGCTGCTGCTGCTGCTGCTGCTGCTTCTGCTGCTGCTGCTGCTGCTGCTACTGCTGCTGCTGCTCTCGCTGCAACTCCAACCTCTCACGCTCCACCCGCTGCTGAACCTCCAACCTCTCACGCTCCAAACGCTGCTGCTCCTCACGCTCAAGACGAAGACGGGCCTGGTGTCGAGTCGGGTAAGGGTGAGGAGGAGGAGTGGTGTCAGGAGACGACGAAGAAGAACCTGCTCCGCCCTCGACAGAACCCGGCTGAGCACCCCCAGAGCGAGGACCCCTCGCGGCAGCACGACCAGCACCTGTAGGAGGTGTACCCGCACCCCCAGCCGTGGTGCCCCCAGTAGCGCCAGCACCAGCCCCAGACTCTCCAGCTCCAGAAACACCACCAGCTCCAGCACCACCACCAGCTCCAGTACCCTCGGAACGGGCAGCTGCGGCAGGTGCACGCTCAGCGCCAACGCCAACACCCCCTGAACTGGCTGCTCCTGTAGGTGCACGAACAGCTCCAACGCCAGCACCCCCAGAGCGAGCACCGCCAGAGCCCTCTCCTCGAGCACCAACACCCTCAGAGTCCGCAGTGGCCGGTGAAGGAAGCGGCGACGGCTGCTGCGGAGGCGGTGAGGACGACTGTGGGGAAGGAGGAGAGACCTGGGGGGGTACCGAGGGAGGGGGAGTAGCGTGGGACACACCAGACGGAGCGGGAACAGGGGGGGTACCGGAGGAGTAGGGTCGGGAGGAGGAGGAGCTGGTTCCAGGAAGAGGGGAGGGGGGGGAACCGGGAGACCTCGAGAGGGGTACCTGACGTAGTAGGGGACGGACTCGTCGAAACGGACGTCACGAGAGTCAAAGAACCGGTGGGAGGGTGGGTGGTAAAAGGTGAAGTCAGAGGAGCCCTCTGGGAAACCAAGGAAGACACAGGGGACGGCGCGAGGCGAGATCTTGTCCGCAGAGGTGTCGCGGACAAGAGCCAAGCAGCCCCAGACACTAAACCTCGACGCAACACCAGGGGACCCTGTCCAAAGACTGGTCGGTGAAGCCCCTGGCCGAGAGACGCGAGGCCAGAGGTTCAGCTGGTGAGCGGCGTACCGAGCCGCGTAGGGCCACAGAAAATGGGGCGCGCGAGCGTGGATCATGGAGGTGCGGGCGATCTCCATGACCAGGCCTATGCGGCGCTTAGCAACCCCATTCTGCTGTGGAGAGTCTGGAAGAGTCCAGGACTGGGTGATGCCCTGCTCAGCACAGAATCTGGCGAGAATGCCGGAGCGAAACTCACCCCCACGGTCGGAGTGGAGACAACTGACACGACGACCACGAGTGCCCTCGGTGGCGAGGAGCCACCGGATCAGCGTAGAAGTCACGTCGGACTTCTTCGCCAAGGGGAACACGGTGGTGTACCGAGAGTAATCGTCAACGACCACCAGAAAGAAACTCTCTTGCTCTGGGCCAAGGCGGGAGGCGGGGCCCCAGACGTCTAAGTGGAGTGTCTGGAAGGGCTCGGTGGCCGGACGAAGGGAGGAGGAGTGAGGGGTGGCGCGAAGCCGACCCTGGACACAAGGACCGCACGGAGGAGCTGGGGACGGCGGGAGTGGTGGGAGGACTCGGGGGAGGCCTAAGACAAGACGCTGACTGGACATGGCGCGCAGACGAGGAAGGGACGGGTGCCCCATCCGGTGGTGCCACAGAACGGTGGGGTGGGCAAGCGACCGACACGAGCACGACGCAGCAACTACACCTGACACAGCAACCTGACTGGACCCGGCTACCTGGTGGGACGGGGGAACCTGACGGGGGTCGGTGCGGAGGGTGTACAGACCAGAGCCCGGCTCCTGGCGAAAAGTGGCCAAGGGGGCGTACGTGTCACCGTCGACGCAGACTGCGGTGTCACCAGAAGGCTCAACCCAGACCCCGACGTGCTGTCTCGCCAGGGCGCTCACACCAACCAGGTTCCTAGAGAACGTAGGAACGTGGAGGCCGGTCAGGGAACCAGAAGGAGCAGCTGGGCACGGGAGTGTAGTGGCGTGAGTCGCAATGACCGGTCCCGAGGAGGGATCGGCCAGTGCTACAGGGACAGGCGCCGGTAGCGGAGAGAGAGTCGTGCAGTCGCGGAAGAAGCAGTGCGACGCTCCTGAGTCCAGTGTGAAGGAGAGAGACGCGTCCGCCGAGGGAGTACCTGTACTAGTAGCTAAACAAGATCCTACACTAGCACCTACTCTAGCAACAGGCAAGTACACAGATCCAGGAGCACTATAGTCAACATCAGCATACATGGCATATGACCTAGCATCATCCATAGTCATATCAAAAACAGCAATACCACGAGCAAGAAGTGTCCCCCAACGCGGCGGCGGGGGAGCGGAGGGGCCGTGGTGCAAGAGGTAGAGGTCGTCGAGACGACTGAAGCAGCGTGCAGCAGAGTGGTCGGGGCGGCCACAGTACGAGTCCCTACGAGGACCCGTAAGGATCCAGTACTCACAGGGACCAACGTCGCGGCCGGCCGCGCGAGGTCCCCGACTGGAGGGGGCGCCACTGCGCCCAGTGCTCGGGGGACCCGCAGACCTCCACTGCTGCTGAGGGCCCCACTGCTGCGGAGGGCCCCACTGCTGAGGCTGCTGCTGCGGTAGGCGCTGCTGCTGGCCCTGTCGCTGCTGCTGCTGCTGTCCCTGCCGCTGCTGCTGTCCAGGCGGTGGCAGCTGCTGAGGAGTCGGCTGCTGCTGCTGCTGGAACCCCTCACCACCAGTGAAAACTCCACCGTCGAAAGGAGGGCCGTCAGGTCCCGAGCCACCCCCACCACCACTCCCACCACCTGCTCCACCGCCACCGCCACTACCCGCACCACCTCCAGTACCCCCGCCGCCCTTCCCGCCCTTCTTGCTGGCCTTGCCACGTTTCTGTCCGCCAGAGACAGAAACAGCCGCCGTCTCCTCAGAGGCAGAAGACGTGGGAGTGGCAAGGGAGGCAGAGAAGGTGGGAAGCTGTGGTACCGCGCACCCCTCAAAAAGACGAGGAGGAGGCGCGGAAGAGGCAGAGGCAACGGTGAGGAGGTTACTCTCGATCTTCGAGAGAGCAGTCTCAAGAAGATCGATGGTAAGCTCAGTGGGGTGCTTCAGAAGAAGCGCGTCGCGGGCTGTGGCTAGGCGGTCAGGGAGGCGAGTGACTAGCCAGTGAATAGTAAGCCACATAGGGGGCGGGGCAAGGGCAAGCTGGTCCTCAGTGCAAGCAGCGCGAAAGCGAGCGTCAAGGGAGCGCAGGTGAGTAGCGAGGTTAGAGACAGTCTCAAAGGAGGAGGGACGTACGAGGAGGCGACTGAGCGACGCAGGGTAGAGGGAGTAGAGTAGCGAGCAACAATAGCCTTATACAGATCTGCAGCAGACTCGACCTGAGCGAAGTGGACTGCCTCTGTCGGCGGAAGAAGGTCGGTCAGGGCGAGGCAGGCAGCGGCGTCACGAGACTCCCACACGTCGCGAGCGAGGAGCTGGCGCTGGTAGTCGGCCTCCTGCTCAGAAGTAGGCGGTGGGGTAGTGGGCAGCGGCTGAGGCTGCGGAGGGGCGGTCTGAGTGCCGGACGCGTGCGCGAACAGGTGCACGCCATCCTGCCGCTGGCTCTTAAGGTGGCGCTGCGCCTGCGTAAGCCACGTACTAAAGTCAACAGGTCTCCCCTCAGGGTCAAAGCGAAGAACTCGGGAGGTCGCCATAGGGGGCGAAAGTGAGAGAACGCGGCTGCCAGCCGCGGGAGGGTGAGACAGTCAGAGGCGTGTGAGCAAGCACGCAGGCATGCAAGCGGGCAGGCGGCACGGCATGCGGACAGGCGAGTGGCGCGGCGCACAGGCTGGCGGGCGGCGCGGCGTGCTGGCTGGCGAACGGCGCGGCGCGCTGGCTGGTGAGCGGCGCGGCGCGCTGGCTGGCGGGCGGCGCGGCGCGCTGGCCTGCGCGTGGCGCGGCGCGCTGGTCGGCGTGACGCGCTGGCGTGCGCGTCGGCGTGGCGCGCTGGCGCGCACGTCGGCGTAGCACGCTGGCGTGGCGCGGTGGCGTGCGCGTCGGCGTGGCGCGCTGGCGTGCGCGCTGGCGCGGCAAGCTGGCGTGCGCGCTGGCGGGGCGCGCTGGCGTGCGCGCTGGCGGGGCGCGCTGGCGTGCGCGCTGGCGTGGCGCGCTGGCGTGCGCGCTGGCGTGGCGCGCTGGCGTGCGCGCTGGCGTGGCGCGCTGGCGTGGCGCGCTGGCGTGGCGCGCTGGCGTGGCGCGCTGGCGTGGCGCGCTGGCGTGTGTGCTAGCGTGCGCAGTGGCGTGCGTGCTAGCGTGCGCGGTGGCATGCGTGCTAGCGTGCGCGCTGGCGTGCGGGCTGGCTAGGGCGCTGGCGTACGGGCTGGCTAGCGCGAATAGGGCAGACGGGGAGGAGGGAAGGTACGCCAAGGCTAGAGACGGCCGAAGGCTAGGAACGGCGGATACTGGGCGGGGCCTAGGAACGGCGGATACTGGGCGGGGCCTAGGAACGGCGGATACTGGGCACGGCCTAGGAACGGCTAACCTACTGCTGATACCATCTCAGAAACAGAATACAGCGGAATGAGTAGCATTGATTGGGTTGGGGTACATATGCCTAACCCTAACTGTTTGTACCCCATATAGCATGACCCACAATAGGCTATAACATTTTACACAAACTCATAACAGTATTGAGGTGGCAAGAATTGAACTAATGTAAGGCTGTTATAGCAGCAGTATACATTTGGCAGGGCCTTTGCCCAAGTTTATAAATGGGACTTGATGGTAACCGAATTACAGGGCCAGTCAACTTGTTATGAGTTGTAAAAGAGAGTGCGCAGGTAAACGAATAACGAGACTGTGACTGAATGAATCTGAGAATACAATGAATGCGAGAACTAATGTAGGCTAGCCTAGCTAGGAGGAAACCTCGGACGAGCGAGGTTGGGTGCAGGTTTGGCGATGGAAATGCCGAAGGCGACGTGAGGAGCTTCGGCAGCGTGGAAATCGCCCGAACGTGCGAACTCCGAAAATCGGGTTGTACGCGCAGTAGTCAACCCCGATAAGGAATTCGAGAAAATTCCTTACACCACCCCCCCCCCCTTAAGAAAGGCGGTCAATATCCGAAACACGCTTGCGCGCCAAGTAATCACCAACAAGTGGCGAGGCGTCGAGCGAGGCGGATGGCACCCATGTGTCGTCCTCACTGGTGCGATCAGTCCAGCGGATTAGGAAATCCACGTGTCGGCCAGCTGCGTCAAGTCGAACTCGATGGGCGAGAATTTTCAATGGGTCGAGTGTCGGCTCTGGGACAGGTCGAGCTGTCGGGGCAGCTTGCTGACGTGCAATGTCGGTCGTGGCTGGCACGAACTTGCGAAGCAGGCTTACGTGGAAGGCGTCGTGAATGCGCCAGTCGTCTGGTAGCAACAGCTTCGCGGTGACAGGTGTCACCATCTTGATAATCTTGAACGGTCCGCAAAATCGGGGCCGTAGTTTCGATGGACCGGGCAGGTGCAGGTTCTTCGTGTCGAGGAGCACTAATTGCCCAGTAGTCAAGACGAGTTCCCGGCGTAGGAGGTCGGTGTATTTGCGGGAAGTAATATTCGCCTTGCGAATTGCGTCTGCTGCTTTCTCGCGTATATGCTGAAGTTCCGTCACAAAAGTTTGTGATCGCGGGACCGGGTTGTCGAGCGAAGTTGCCGTGGGCACCGTCGGATCCATCCCGTAATTCAAGAAGAACGGGGAGTGATTAGTCGTGCTCGATGGTGCGTTGTTGAAGGCAAACTCCAACATGGCGAGGGAATCTTCCCATCGTGCGGGGTCGGGGCAGTTTGTCCGTATCAGCTGCTCCATCGTCTGGTTGGTTCGCTCGGTTTGTCCGTCCGTCTGTGGGTGGTAGGCCGATGAGAACTGTAGCTTCGTGCCGTACTGCGCCCATGTTTCCTTCCAAAACTTGGATGTAAACTTCGGGTCCCGGTCGGTGATGATCGCCGAAGGGATGCCGTGTAGTCGCACGACCGTTGAGATGAAGAGGCGCGCAGTTTCTTCGGCTGTGATCGTCGTTCGGCATGGTGCGAAGTGCGCCATTTTCGTGAAGCGATCGACAACGACGAGGACAGCGTCGTTGCCGGACGGCCCAGCTGGCATCCCCGTGACGAAATCCATCGTCACCTGTTGCCACGGTCGTTCGGGTGGCTCGAGGGGTTGCAGCAGCCCAGCTGGTCGCTGTCGTGTCGATTTCATGGCTTGGCACACCCTGCATGAGGACACGTAACGCTGCACGTCGTTAGAGGAATCGGGCCAGTAATATTGACGGTGCAGTAATTTCTGGGTTTTATCAACCCCGAAGTGTCCGGAGTAGTTCGAATCGTGGACCTCCTGGATGAGGAGTTCACGCAGCAGCCGGTAAGCGGGGACCCAAATCCTGTCGGTGCCGGCTTTTAGGTAATAATCCCCCTTCTGCGTCGTGGCCTGCTGATGATTTCCTGTCGTGAAGAACGGGTCCGTAGTGTAGCCGTGGGTGAATAGTCCTGTAAGTAGCGGGTTCGAATGGGTGATCAGTACAGCAGCGGATTGTACGGTCGGTCTGGTCAGGGCGTCGGCGATGTTATTCGCCCCTTTCTTGTACACGATGCGGTAGGTGAAGTGGCTCTCCATGTAGTCCAGCCACCGAATTTGTCGCGGGTTGAGGTTCGGTTGAGCTCGCAGGTACTGTAGGGACTTGTGGTCCGTGCGCACAGTGACGTCGGCGCCCACCAGGTAGCATCGCCACAGTTTAAACGCGTGGATTATGGCGAGCATCTCCTTGTCGTGGATCGGGTAGTTGCGTTCGGCAGCTTGCAGCTTGCGTGATTCGTAGGCGATCGGCTGCAGCCCGTTCCCGAAATCCTGGAGAAGCACTGCTCCAGGAGGCGAAATCAGAGGCGTCGGTTACGACTTCGAACGGCTTTGATGGGTCGGCGATGCGCAGTACAGGAGGAGAAACGAGAAAATTCTTGAGCTCCTGGAAAGCCACCTCTGCTTCCTCCCCCCACACGAAATTCTTGTCCTTGTGCAGCAGGTCGGTCAGCGGGCCGGTTATCCCCGCCATATTCGGGATAAACCGCCGGACGTAATTCACGAACCCCAAAAAACTCTGGAGCTCCGTGACATTAGTCGGGGCCTTCCACTAATATGCGGATTGTACGGTCGGTCTGGTCAGGGCGTCGGCGATGTTATTCGCCCCTTTCTTGTACGCGGTGCGGTAGGTGAAGTGGCTCTCCATGTAGTCCAGCCACCGAATTTGTCGCGGGTTGAGGTTCGGTTGAGCTCGCAGGTACTGTAGGGACTTGTGGTCCGTGCGCACAGTGACGTCGGCGCCCACCAGGTAGCATCGCCACAGTTTAAACGCGTGGATTATGGCGAGCATCTCCTTGTCGTGGATCGGGTAGTTGCGTTCGGCAGCTTGCAGCTTGCGTGATTCGTAGGCGATCGGCTGCAGCCCGTTCCCGAAATCCTGGAGAAGCACTGCTCCAGGAGGCGAAATCAGAGGCGTCGGTTACGACTTCGAACGGCTTTGATGGGTCGGCGATGCGCAGTACAGGAGGAGAAACGAGAAAATTCTTGAGCTCCTGGAAAGCCACCTCTGCTTCCTCCCCCCACACGAAATTCTTGTCCTTGTGCAGCAGGTCGGTCAGCGGGCCGGTTATCCCCGCCATATTCGGGATAAACCGCCGGACGTAATTCACGAACCCCAAAAAACTCTGGAGCTCCGTGACATTAGTCGGGGCCTTCCACTCCTGGATGGTTTTAATCTTCGCCGGGTCGATTTTGATGCCGTCGCGGGAGATAACGTGCCCTAAAAACTCCAACTCCTGCTTAAAAAACTCGCACTTAGAGCCCTTGGTGATGAGCCGGTTTTCTTGCAGCCTTTTAAAAACTGCGTCCAGGTCGCGGAGGTGTTGTTCCCGTGTCTTGCTAAAAATCAGGATATCGTCCAAATAGACGATGACACATCGGTCTAGAAGATCGCGAAAAACCCTGTTCATGGTCAGTTGGAATGTCGAAGGCGCGTTCGTGAGGCCGAAAGGCATCACTGTAAATTCGTAACTCCCGTAGCGTGTACGAAACGCGGTCTTGTGACAGTCGTCGGCGAAGACCCGAATCTGGTGGTAACCGCCACGTAAGTCGATTTTCGAGAAGTAGCGAGCGCCGCGAAGTTGATCGAGGAGGTCGTCGGTGCGTGGGATTGGGTAGCGAGACTTGATGGTCACCCTGTTCAACGCGCGATAATCGATGCACATGCGAAGCCCGCCGTCCTTCTTTGGAGTGAACAGGATCGGTGCCGCGAACGGGGAGGTGCTCGGCCGAATGAAGCCTTTCTCCAACAGTGCAACAATTTGTCGGCGTAGCTCCTCGAGTTCCGGTTGGGTCAACCGCCACTGTGTCCGAACAGTAGGTTGCGCGCCAGGTTCCAGCTGGATTTTATGGTCTTCGGGTCTTTCGGGTGGCAGCCCAGGTGGCAAATCGTCCGGGAAAATGTCGGGGTACCGTCGAATTAGCTCCGCTAAATCCGGAGGAACAGCTGCACACAGCTTTTCGATGTCCTTTCCGTCGGTGTCGACTGCCAACTCGCGCAAGAAGACAGCGAACAGCTGCGCACCCCTGTTGAAGTGGTGGGCGATGGTGATGGCTTTGACGCACGGGGCTTGGATGTAGTCAGGTGTCCATGCAGGCAACTTAATTAGCCCCTCGTGCTTGCTGACGCAGCACGATCCCGTTGTCCAGTCGATGACGGGGTTGTGTCGTCGCAGCCAATCGCGTCCCAGCAGCACGTCGCAGCCATCCAGCGTCGTCGCGAGGAACTTCATGCTGAAGCCGAAATCTTCGCCGCACTCGATCCGCACCATCCGTGTTTCTTCCGTTATCGCCAGAGGCGTCCCATCCACGAGTCGTGCGTCGATTTCGGGCAGACACCTGTCAAGTTGCATGTTGCATTTTTTTGCGCTCGCCAAGTTGAAGAGGCTATGGCTGGCCCCTCCATCGACGAACATTTTCAAATGATGTTTCCCCACCTTGCCAGCGACCAGCACAGGGTGATCCACATGATTATCCCCGTTATTCGGCCGAGTGCGATCGATTGCATGAATCGGAACCACGACTCGGTGGGGATGGTGGTGTTCGGGCGACGGAGCACAGTCAGTAAAGGGCCCGCTACTTACTGACTCTTCCCATTTCCCTGCTCCTTCCTGTCGTTCTCTGTCAGCGGCATTTTCTCCTTGCATTCGTTCTTCCAGTGACCCACCTTCCCACACCGGAAACACTGACCCTTAGGAGGGCGGTCGGGTGTATGGACGGCGTTGATTGTGGCCCGATGGGTCTGGCCACGAAAACCTCTCCCATCCCTGGAAGCCGTTCTCGCGTACTGCATCAGCGCATCCGTTGACTCTGCCACGCGTACTGCTTCGAGGAACGATGTCGGGCGGCTGCGGCGAACTTCGAACTGTATCTCGTACTTAAGGCCGCTCACGTATTTATCCAACCGCTCAGCTTCCGACATGTCATCGATTTGGTCGGCGAAGCCCATAAATGACGCCGTGTAGTCTTGGACAGATCCCATCTGCGACCATGCACGCAGCTTCATGCGAGCTTGCTCCGAGGCGGATATGTGCTCGAAGCGATCCCGTAAGGCTGCGCCCCACTCCTTCCATGTGCGTATCTTGGTCACACCGAAGATCGGTTCTGCAACTTGATTAACCACTGTAGAGGTCCCGTCTGCCGCATGTGTCACACCTGTCGACGTCCCTGTTTCCAAGGTCCGGCGCCACCATTCAAGTGCTGCACCTCGAAGAAGTGAGACTGCGTAATTAATGCGCGTGGCATCGTCATTAACTCCGGCTGCAGTGAAGAAGACTTCAACCCCGAACAGCCACCCCTTCACTGTAGTCGTCTTGTCCGTAGGATTAAACGGGGGCGGGTTGACGGGCTTGATCTTGATCGTCGTAACTGCAACTGGCGCTGCCGCCGCTCGCTGCCTATCTTCTTCTTCGAAGTCGCGTGTGAGCTCGTCCAGAGGATTGCCCATCACTTGACTGTTGCCCTCGCCTTCGTCCACAGGCGACGTCTGACGCGCTTCACCTCGCGTCCGGCGTAGCTCGGCGTTTTCCTCCTTCAGTGTTGTCACTTCCGCTTGCAGCGATTCCATGCCCCTCGCCATTTCTGCCACTTGCGCCATCAGTCGGTTAACAGCCTCCTGATCCATGTTTCTAGCACTACGTCTGGTGGGCAGTTGGGTACCCGTGGCCGCCCGGCAAGTGAAAACACGAACTATCGGAGTCGGGCAGGGTTGAGTTAACAACCTCTGCAGCCAACCGTCGTGTAGTCACTAAACCAACCACACCCTATGCCACCAAACTACCCTTGAAAAGCGGGGTGAACTAGGAAAGTAGCTCTGATACCAGGTGTTATGAGTTGTAAAAGAGAGTGCGCAGGTAAACGAATAACGAGACTGTGACTGAATGAATCTGAGAATACAATGAATGCGAGAACTAATGTAGGCTAGCCTAGCTAGGAGGAAACCTCGGACGAGCGAGGTTGGGTGCAGGTTTGGCGATGGAAATGCCGAAGGCGACGTGAGGAGCTTCGGCAGCGTGGAAATCGCCCGAACGTGCGAACTCCGAAAATCGGGTTGTACGCGATAAGGAATTCGAGAAAATTCCTTGCACAACTGCTGTCACGAGCGACGTGTTTCCAACCCCTCACCAGAACCCCTCTCACCAGACTCGTCAAGAGTTTATGGAAAGCCAAAAGTATACTAAAGGAGTTGCCTCCTCCCCACTAACCCCACCTCCACAGCATAGCTCAGCGTGCACAGCTAGAATAACTACCGTACGCAATAATAGTGGTTGCAACGTCTCGCTGTTAGGTCATTTTTCGACCAAACCACGGTCTATTCTGCTACGCGCCAACGACATTCGCCGGCCCAGTTGTGAAATGCTAGAGGCCGTTCACGTGGCGAGAAGCGACCATAACTAAGTACTTACATCTAGGTCTCACGCCCTGGAGTCAGTCTAGGCGTACCCCACCAAACGCGCATTCAGTCGCTGGCTTTTAGGGCTATGATCGCTCTCGCCACGTGCATGTTTGCCGCCTCGCCAAGCCACTCGCTGCCTCACGTAAATTTCCTACGCACTCTCGTCGCTTTCCGCTGACATCTCGCTACCCCCCTTCTTTTGCGGAATCGACCCACTGCTGCCTCATGGCCGAATAACGCGGAATATCGCATTGCTGCCAAAAGGCGTCGCAACACGCCCCTGCACGCAGCCCAATCCGCGTCGAGCAGCCTCGCCTCGTCGCCCGTCGCAGCATCGCTTCGCCGCACCACCGTTCTCCCCTTCCTGCCTCCTTTACTCCCCTTCCGCCTCCCATTCTCCCATTCCCGCCTCCCTTTTCCCCCTTCACGCCTTCCCGTCACGCCTTCTCGCCTTCAAGCCACGCCTTCTCCCCTTCCCGCCACGCCTTCTTCCCTTCCCTCCCTTCCCATCGTTCTCCTACTGCCTCACCGTGCTTTAATTCGACTGAGTGCCAGGACTCCTCACGCGGCCCCGTCGCGCCCACCTTCATGACATCGTCACGCTCCTGAGCGCGACCTCATCTCACCTTGCCTCGCAGGTTCCCCGCGCTTATCCCCCGCCTTCTCTCCCTCCTTTCCCATCTCCTCTCCCTCCCTTCCCAGCTCCTCTCCCTCCCTTCCCATCTCCTCTCCTTCCCTTCCCATCTCCTCTCCCTCCCTTCCCGCCTCCTCTCCCTCCCTTCCCTTCTCTTCTCCCTCACTTCCCATCTCCCCCTTCTCCCTTCCCGTCCCTCCTTTCACATCTCCCCTCACTCCCTTCCCGTCCCTCCCTTCCCATCTCCACTCCCTCCTTTCTCGTCCCTCCTTTCACATCTCCCCTCCCTTCCGATCTCGCCTCCCTCCCTTCCCATCTCCCCTCCCCCCCTTCCCATCTCCCCTCCCTCCCTTCCCATCTCCCCTCCCTCCCTTCTCATCTCCTCTCCCTCCCTTCCCGTCCTTCCCTTCCCGTCCCTCCCTTCCCATCTCCCCTCCCTCCCTTCACGTCGCTCCCTTCCCATCTACCCTCCCTCCCTTCCCATCTCCCCTCCCTCCCTTTTCATCTCCTCTCCCTCCCTTCCCGTCCCTCCCTTCGCGTCCCTCCTTTCACATCTCCCCTCCCTCCCTTCCCGTCGCTCCCTTCCCATCTCCCCTCCCTCCGTTCGCATCCCTCCTTTCACATCTAACCCTCCCTCCCTTCCCGTCCCTCCCTCAATCACCTATTTTTCCCTCTGCTCACTCTCATTCCCCCTTTGCTCAATCTTCCCCCCCTCTCACTCACTCGCTTTCCCCCTTTGCTCAACCTTTTCCCCCGCGCTCGCTCGCTTTCCCTCACTCGCTTTCCCCCCTTCGCTCAACTTTTCTCCTCGCCACCTGCCTCGAGCTGCTGCCCGACGCTCGAGGTTACAAGGGGAGGCAACATCGCGCGATCGTCGCTTGTTGCGTGGCCCATCGCGACCTCGCCCTGATTCACAGGTTCCCCGCGTTCATACCCATCTCCTCTCCCTTCCATCCCACCTCCCCACCCTGCCTGCCCATCTCTCATCCCTTCCTTCTCATCCCCCCGCCCTTCCGTCCCATCTCACCGCCCTGCCTTCCCATCTCCCGTCCCTTCCTTCCCATCTCCCCACTTTGCCTTCCCACCTCCCGACCCTTTCCTCCCTGCCCTCGCATCTTCTTGTTAAACTGTTATATGTTGGTAGGCTGTAGTGGGGTAGCCAATATGGGGTACAACCCCAAGTAGGGTTTGCTACTTGTACCCAGTTGTGTCATTCAATGCACCATTCTCACGCTAGTATTCTGATATGGTATTCAGAGCAGGTGGTCCCTAGGACCATCCGATCGTTTTTTTTTTAGGGCCCACCACCGCACGCTGCGGTTACCGCGTTACCCCCCCCCCGCCCTACCCTCGTAGCGCCCTCGTTGCGCTCTAACGCCCTCGTGGTGGAGGGAGGCGGTGCTGGAGGGAGCGGTGGCGGGAGTGCTGGTGGGAGTGGGGTCGGCAGCGGAGGCGGGGGCGGCGGAGGGAGCAGTGGCGGTGGTGGCGGCGGCGGCGGTGGCGGCGGTGGCGGTGGCGGCGGTGGCGGTCGGAGCGGAGGTAGTGGTGGCGGCGGAGGTCGGAGTGGAGGCACTGGCTCGGGCCAGAGCTCCCAGCAGCAGCAGCGTCCCCAGACGACCCAGCAGCTTCGTGAGTGGCTTGCTCAGCGTGGGACGTCGGGGGGCAGTGTCCGCTGTTCCTATGTCATTCGCACAGGTGACCGCAAGGGACAGACGTGTGGGAGGTTCCACCCGATGCACTAGACATCCCCACTCCGCGCACTTACGCAGAGGCGATCTCGGGTCCCTACTCCTCTCAGTGGCAGACAGCCATGGACGCAGAGATGGCATCCTGGAAGTCCACAGGCACCTACGTCGACGAGGTTCCCCCTCCTGGGGCGAACATCGTCGATGGCATGTGGATTTTCAGGGTGAAGCGGCCGCCAGGTTCTCCGCCTGTCTTCAAGGCTCGTTACGTTGCTAGAGGCTTCAGTCAGCGTCAGGGGGTCGACTTCTTCCAGACCTTCTCCCCCACCCCGAAGATGACCACTCTTCGGGTTCTGCTGCACGTTGCTGCTCAGCGTGACTACGAGCTTCACTCTCTTGACTTCAGCACAGCGTTCCTGCAGGGCAGCCTGCACGAGGAGATCTGGCTGCGCCGCCCACCTGGCTTTACTGGGTCGTTTCCCCCTGGTACCCAGTGGAGTCTCCGCAGGCCAGTCTACGGTCTCCGCCAGGCGCCACGTGAGTGGCACGACACACTGAGGACTACACTTGCGGCTCTTGGGTTCGCGCCGTCTACTGCTGACCCGTCGCTGTTTCTGCGCACAGACACGTCGCTGCCGCCGTTCTACATTCTCGTGTACGTCGACGACTTGGTCTTTGCTACTGCTGACACTGAGGCACTCGCTCGTGTGAAGTCGGAGCTGCAGAAGAGACACACCTGCACTGACCTGGGTGAACTGCGTAGCTACCTTGGCTTGCAGATCACCCGGGACAGAGCTCGCCGCACCATCACCCTGACTCAGTCACACATGGTGCAGCAGGTCCTTCAGCGCTTCGGCTTCCAGTTCTCCTCACCACAGGCCACACCTCTGGCTACCAGCCACTCGCTCTCAGCTCCACCTTCGGACGAGTCCGTAGAGCCGAGTGGCCCGTACCCAGAGCTTGTAGGCTGCCTCATGTACCTGATGACCTGCACGCGACCTGACCTCGCGTACCCTCTTAGCATCCTTGCTCGTTACGTTGCGCCTGGGAGACACAGGCGAGAGCACTGGGAGGCTGCTAAGAGGGTGCTGCGTTACCTGTGCAGTACATCAGGCATGGGGCTGGTGCTTGGAGGACGCGACAGAGTTGTCCTCACTGGTCACTCGGACGCCTCTTGGGTGGACGACCTGGCTACGCAGCGGTCGTCACAGGGTTACACCTTCAGCCTTGGCTCTGGTTCTGTCTCGTGGCGGTCCACCCGCTCTTCCTCTGTTCTCGGCTCTAGTTGTGAGGCTGAGATCTACGCCACAGCCATGGCTGCACAGGAGTTACGCTGGCTCACCTACCTGCTGACTGACTTGGGAGAGCGGCCTAGTTCTCCTCCAGTTCTGTACGGTGACAACAAGGCGGCTCTTGCCTTGTGTCAGGAGCACAGACTGGAGCACAGGACGAAGCACATTGCTCTTCGCTACTTTCTTGCTCGAGAGCTTCAGCAGCGCGGTCAGCTTCGGCTTGTGTACGTGGACTCGAAGGCCAACACTGCTGATATCTTCACCAAGGCGCTCCCGCCTAGTGATCATCAGCGGCACTGTACTTCTTTAGGCCTTGTGTCCACGTTTCCTCACTTGCTCACTACTTGACATTCTTTGTACTGTACTTTATATATATCTTGTTGCTTGCTTGCTAGGTTTTGATCACTGTGTTGCTTGTCTTCTACTATATCTAGCACTGCATGTGAACTGGCCTTGTGGCCTTTACTTGTGCTCGGAGTGTGGTGACGTTGTGATCCACCCTGGGCTTTGTTTTGCTTTGCTGGACTGGTCTTGTGACCCTTTGTGCTCCCCCACTTTGCCTATGGGGGTGTGTTAAACTGTATTATGCTTGTAGGCTGTAGTGGGGTAGCCAATATGGGGTACAACCCCAACTAGGGTTTCATATTTGTACCCAAACTTCTGTTAGTTCATTCATTCTTGCCTAGTGATTCTGATCTAAAAAGCGGGGTAGGCTAGGAAAGTAGCTCTGATACCAGGTGTTATGAATGAACTTGTCAGAGTGCGCAGATATCGAATAACGAGAATGTTGAACTACAGAATGATTGAACAATGAAGTAGCGAGGCCTAAATAGGGGAAAACCTAGCTAGGCGGGGGATGGCTACGATTGGAGCGGAGGCCGACTCGGGGGTGGTTCGGTGCGACGAAATAGGCATCGCAGGTTCGTCGCGACACCCTCGGGATGTACTCGCTAAAGTGCGAGTACAGTAAGGAATTGTAATCCGTTACACATAGAATCTCAACAAATTGATTCTTCTACCTGAATCGCTTCGCAACCCTAAGACGATTTTGTCGCCTCTTGTTTTTCATGTGAGTGTGTCACTCCGTGATCAGGTGACGAGAGCGTTTTTACTGTATCTCTCAACGGAATCGGGGGTGACGCTCAGTTTTGCCTGGGGTGACGCTCGGGGGTGACGCTTTCGGGAGCGTCACCCTGACCCGGGCAGAAAAAAACTAAACCCCAGATGGACCGGCATGCCATTCGGGAGCCTCAACCCTAAAATTTTAGGGTTGAGGCTCCCGAATGGCACGCCATCCATCTGGGGTTTAATTTTTTTGCCCCGGGCAGTTGGTCGTTTTGTCGATGCCACCTTGTCGTATTCTCGCGCGCTACGTTGAGATATACTAGCCTGTCAAAGCACAACCCTCCCCCCCCCCCCCCCCCCCCCCCCCCCCCCGGCCCAACCCTGGCGTACTGTTGGAAGTTCGCCTCCAAGCACCCCGGAAGTGTTTTTTTTCGCCACCCGGCATCTCGCCAAGCTCTTTGTTTTCGTCCAAGCGATTTCGATATGCACACTGTAGCTCAGCGCAACTGCCAAATGTATACCGCCGCTTTATGCTTGTTCGAACACTCTTTACTCGCTTAAGAAAGGAACTCCTGCCCGCTTCTCCACTTTGTCTTTTGCTCGCTCGCGGTGGCGCGTCCGCATGGCGTCGCGATCCGCGTTGGCCAGCGTGCCCACGGCCGTGGCGGCGTGCGCGTCGTCGTGCGGCGCCACTCTCGCCGCTGCGGCTGCGCCGCTCCTCGTTCCATCCGATCCCTTCGCCGCGCTTGATCAGCGTGAATTGTGGCGAGTAGATCCTGCGCGCGGCTCGTTGGCGACCGCTGCTTCCCCACCGGATCAGACGGCGACTGATCTATCGCGATCGGTCCTGTCAGAACATCCACCTTCCCACCCGTCCGCCGCTCCCGCCGCTCGTGTCTCGTCCGCCTTCGTTTCTCCCCCGCTCGTAGCCCACATCCAATCGCGCGTCGCCGTCCCTCCAGCATCCACAGCCTTCCATCCGGGATCGGCAGGATCTCGTCATCCCCTAGCCGTCCGTCCAGGTTGCGGTGGTTACCACCGCATCCTCACCAATGACGTGGCTCGCTCGTTCCTTCGCCAGATCTCGCTGACGTCATCATGGCCATCTCAGCGCAGTTTTAGCGGGTGCAGAGCAGCGGGATCAACGGCTAGCATTTTCCCCCGATCAACGGCTGGAATAGATCCCGGATCTTCGGCTAGTAGCAGCGATCGGAAGGATGCGGGAGAGGAGGGCGGGGCGGCAGTATCTGGGTTAGGTGGGTCGTCTTACCGCGACGTGCTGAGTGTAGCTGCTGACGATCTTGCGCAGTCGCACGAAAGCGATGATGTCTATAGCGAGGCACGTGAGGATGTCGCGTCGGATGATAGCGGCGTTGATGCGAGCGCGCAGGAGTCATCGGATGTGGCGCGGAGCAGCGACGGCGGGGCAAGCGCGGATGCCCGCGCGATGGGCGCGGGGGGCAGGCGGAGGCGGAGGCGGAGGCGGCAGTGCAGCAGGCGGCGGGGCTGGCGACGCTGGCGGAGCTGTACGAGGCGCAGGAGAAGCTCGCCAGGAGCGCGCGCTTCCGCGAATCGGTTGCGCTCTTCCGCGCGTGGATGCGCAAGGACAAGGGCGCGGGCGCAGGGGGAGGCGCAACCGAGGCAGGGGGCGCTCCTGCGCCGGCTGCTGGTGCTCACGAGTTTGAGGCGCAGCTACGGAAGGAGCGCGAGGAGGCGCTGCCGCTAATGACGTGGCAGCTGTACCTGCACGCGCTGATGCATGTGGGGCCGCCCGTGCAGGCGGTGCAGCGAGTGGTGCGAGCGATGAGGGAGATGCGCGCGCAGGGCGCGCAGGGCGTGCGGGCGTCGAAGGACACGTTCCACGTGCTGCTGCGCACCGCCCTCGCCCGCCGCGATGCCAGCGCCGTGCTGCTCTTCCTCACCCAGTGCGTTGGGCCGTCAGGGCGTGGGTGGGCCGTGAGCGCGTGGGTGGGGCGCAACGCACGCTGGGGAGGGGGAGGGGGGGAAGAGAGGTTGTTTGCAGTGGGCAAGGGGGTTGGGGTTGGGGTTTGGGGTTTGGCGGTTTGGGGGAGTAAGGAGGAGCGAGTTGAGGGCACGGGGGGTTTTGGGGTGCATGAGCATGCTGCATACTACTTGGGGGCAAGGGGATTGGGGTTTGGTGGTTTGGGTTGACTCTGAGACACCGCTCTGCCTTGCTCACTGCACGACCGGTTTTTCCAAGTATGCCCTGCTGCCTCCTGCAACCCCCTCCCCGGCCCCCCCTCCCACCCCTCCCTCCCTGCCCTCCCTGCCACCGCTCATGCTGCCCCTCCCGCTCCCACCCACCCGCGCGCCCTTCCCTCCACTCCCCTCCCTCCCATCCCCGCCATCCCCCACCCATCCCCCGCTCTCCTCTCAATATACCCCCCTCTCACTCCACGCCCTAACGGCACGGCAGCATGGGCGATGCGAGGGTGGTACCAGAGGCGGGCAGCTACAGTGAGGCGGTAGCACTGTGTGCCAAGGAGCGCCGCATGCAGGCGGCGCTGCAGGTGGTGGCGGACATGCGCCGCGCGCGCATGGTGCCGTCCCCCCGGGCCGTGTCGGAGCTGCTGGCCACGTGCGTGCACACACGGCGCTCACGGGACGCCATCACGGTGCTCGAGGTGGTCAAGGTGCGCACGGGCAGGGGGGAAGGGGGTGTGCCGCTGCAGGGGAGTGTGGGTGTGCCGCTGCAGGGGAGTGTGGGTGTGCCGCTGCAGGGGAGTGTGGGTGTGCCGCTGCAGGGGAGTGTGGGTGCGCCTGTGCGCTGCCCTCGCCACATGCCTGCAGACGCGGCGCTCCTGTGATGCCATTGCTGTGGTCAAGATGGTTAACGTGCGTGTGGGGGGAAGAGTGTGCCGCTGCATTGGGTTGTGTGTGCCCTCTGCCATCCGCCCTCTGCAATGCCCTCCAGGGTGCACCAAGTGCGTATTTGCACTCCACCCCATGCACCCACCCCATGCACCCACCCCATGCACCCACCCCATGCACCCACCCCATGCACCCACCCCATGCACCCACCCCATGCACCCACCCCATGCACCCACCCCATGCACCCACCCCATGCACCCACCCCATGCACCCACCCCATGCACCCACCCCATGCACCCACCCCATGCACCCACCCCATGCACCCACCCCATGCACCCACCCCATGCACCCACCCCATGCACCCACCCCATGCACCCACCCCATGCACCCACCCCATGCACCCACCCCATGCACCCACCCCATGCACCCACCCCATGCACCCACCCCATGCACCCACCCCATGCACCCACCCCATGCACCCACCCCATGCACCCACCCCATGCACCCACCCCATGCACCCACCCCATGCACCCACCCCATGCACCCACCCCATGCACCCACCCCATGCACCCACCCCATGCACCCACCCCATGCACCCACCCCATGCACCCACCCCATGCACCCACCCCATGCACCCACCCCATGCACCCACCCCATGCACCCTCCCCATGCACCCACCCCATGCACCCACCCCATGCACCCACCCCATGCACCCACCCCATGCACCCACCCCATGCACCCACCCCATGCACCCACCCCATGCACCCACCCCATGCACCCACCCCATGCACCCACCCCATGCACCCACCCCATGCACCCACCCCATGCACCCACCCCATGCACCCACCCCATGCACCCACCCCATGCACCCACCCCATGCACCCACCCCATGCACCCACCCCATGCACCCACCCCATGCACCCACCCCATGCACCCACCCCATGCACCCACCCCATGCACCCACCCCATGCACCCACCCCATGCACCCACCCCATGCACCCACCCCATGCACCCACCCCATGCACCCACCCCATGCACCCACCCCATGCACCCACCCCATGCACCCACCCCATGCACCCACCCCATGCACCCACCCCATGCACCCACCCCATGCACCCACCCCATGCACCCACCCCATGCACCCACCCCATGCACCCACCCCATGCACCCACCCCATGCACCCACCCCATGCACCCACCCCATGCACCCACCCCATGCACCCACCCCATGCACCCACCCCATGCACCCACCCCATGCACCCACCCCATGCACCCACCCCATGCACCCACCCCATGCACCCACCCATGCACCCACCCCATGCACCCACCCCATGCACCCACCCCATGCACCCACCCCATGCACCCACCCCATGCACCCACCCCATGCACCCTCCCCATGCACCCTCCCCATGCACCCACCCCATGCACCCACCCCATGCACCCACCCCATGCACCCACCCCATGCACCCACCCCATGCACCCACCCCATGCACCCACCCCATGCACCCACCCCATGCACCCACCCCATGCACCCACCCCATGCACCCACCCCATGCACCCACCCCATGCACCCACCCCATGCACCCACCCCATGCACCCACCCCATGCACCCACCCCATGCACCCACCCCATGCACCCACCCCATGCACCCACCCCATGCACCCACCCCATGCACCCACCCCATGCACCCACCCCATGCACCCACCCCATGCACCCACCCCATGCACCCACCCCATGCACCCACCCCATGCACCCACCCCATGCACCCACCCCATGCACCCACCCCATGCACCCACCCCATGCACCCACCCCATGCACCCACCCCATGCACCCACCCCATGCACCCACCCCATGCACCCACCCCATGCACCCACCCCATGCACCCTCCCCATGCACCCCCCCTCCCATGCCCAGGCGCACAAGATAGAGATGGAGGGCCGGGCCATGGAGCATGCGCTCATGACGGCTGTGGACACCGAGGACTATGACTGCGCTTATCTCGCCATGCAGGTGCACTTATCTCCTCCTCCTCCTCCTCCTCCTCCTCCTCCTCCTCCTCCTCCTCCTCCTCCTCCTCCTCCTCCTCCTCCTCCTCCTCCTCCACCCCACCCACACCCTCCAGTTCTTTCACCCTCCTTCTCGCATCCCCTCTTCCCATTCCTCCTTCCCCACCCCACGCTCGCCCCCTGCCCACGCTCCAATTTCCCGCACCTTTCTTCCCCGTGCCTCTCCTCCCTGCCACCAGCTGATTCAGGAGCAGCGTGAGTACGTGCACGACGGGCTCATGCTGCGAGTGGCCAACATGGCGGCCAGGGCGGGTCACACGCCCCTCATAGAGCACGTGTGGGACCGCCTCGTGCGCCGCCCCTACGCGCCCTCCCCCGCCTTCCACCTCGCGCGCATCCACGCCTACAGCGCTGCGGCCAACTTCCCCTGCGCCTTCCGAGCCGCGCTGCACCTGCAGGACTTCCTGCTGCACCCCTCGCTCGCGCGCCCCAACGACCTCCCCCCCTGGTTCCACGCCTTCCCCAAGTTCCGCCCCGGTGCACCTGGTGCTCCCCAGGACGATTGCTTTCGCTACACGCTGCCGCTGCCGGGAGCGGCTGGTGCTGCAGGTGCAGGGGGTGAGGGGGAGGGGCTGGCGGGGGGAGAGGGGGGGGTGACAGGTGGCGGCGCGCCATTGGAGGAGCTGAACCCGTTCACGTCACTGCGGCCGCTGACGCTGGCGCTGTGCTCCAGCGTGGATGTGCTCGATAAGGTGAGCCATGGGGGGCACGCTGGTGAGACAACTTGGATACGACTTTAAATCAACTTCTGAGTCGTCTCAACGTTGCTGGCGCTGTGCTCTTATGTGGGCGTGCTTGATAAGGTGTGCCGCAGGCTCGCAGGGGCCGCGCAGGGGGGAGCTGGGGTTCAGCTAGCTAGGGGCGACGCTGGGGTAGCCAGACCTCACCATGCTCCCCCCGGTTCTCCACCCCCTCCACTCTCTCCCACCCACCACACAGGGCGACAGCACATTGGAGAGCATGCACGAGCAGAGTGAGGTGGCGCTGGCGGCACTCAACTTCTGAGGCGCCTCAGAAGCCTGCCTCCTCTCCCCTCTCCCCACTGTCCCACCCACCACAGGGCTACAGCATGTTGGAGGGCATGCACGCGCAGGGCGAGGTGGTGGCACTGGCAGCACTCAACTGCGTGGTGGCGGGGTGTGCCATGCAGCGCGACGTGGGGCGCGCTCAGCTCACCTTGGATGAGATGACGCGCACCTTGGGCCTGCAGCCCGACACACACTCCTTCAACGCGCTCATGGACTGCTACTCTCGGCCGTCGCTGACGTGAGTTGCCTCCGTTGACTTGACTGTCAAGCTGCGAAGCAAGCGCGCATGAGTCAACTGAGAGGGAAACACAGCACGGATGAGGGGGCTGATGCGGTGAATCTGGACTCTTGCTTTCATACAGTGCCCACGTGGATTGTCATGGCGGAGTGGCTTATATGAGTTGGAGGTCACATGCAGCGTTGCCCCTCCCCCCCTCCCTCGCTCCCTCCCTCCTCCCCGCATCCCTCTCTCCCCCCTCTCATCCCTTCCAACCCCCCCATCCCTCCCTCCATCCCTCTATCCCCCCCTCCCTCCCTCCCTCCCTCCCTCCCTCCCTCCCTCCCTCCCTCCCTCCCTCCCTCCCTCCCTCCCTCCCTCTCTCCCTCTCTCTCCCTCCCTCCCTCCCCCCCCACCCCCTCCCCCCCTCCCTCCCTCCCTCGCTCCCTCCCTCCCTGCCTCCCTCCCTCCCTCCCCCCCTCCCTCCCTCCCTCCCTCCCTCCCTCCCTCCCTCCCTCCCTCCCTCCCTCCCTCCCTCCCTGCCTCCCTCCCTCCCTCCCCCCCTCCCTCCCTCCCTCCCTCCCTCCCTCCCTCCCTCCCTCCCCCTCCCTCCCTCCCTCCCTCCCTCCCTCCCTCCCTCCCTCCCTCCCTCCCTCCCTCCCTCCCTCGCTCCCTCCCTCCCTGCCTCCCTCCCTCCCTCCCCCCCTGCCTCCCTCCCTCCCTCCCTCCCTCCCTCCCTCCCTCCCTCCCTCCCTCCCTCCCTCCCTGCCTCCCTCCCTCCCTCCCCCCCTCCCTCCCTCCCTCCCTCCCTCCCTCCCTCCCTCCCTCCCTCCCTCCCTCCCTCCCTCCCTCCCTCCCTCCCTCCCTCCCTCCCTCCCTCCCTCCCTGCCTCTATTCCTTAACGCCTCTCCCCCTCGCAGGTGCGCACGGTGGTGCAGCTGTTTGAGCACATGACGCGCACACTGCACCTGCCGCCCACCGCTGACTCCTACACCATCCTGGTCGACGCCCACATCCGCGCCTTCGATGCACCAGGGGCATGCATCGCCATGGATAAAATGGTGAGCCGTGCTCCCTTCACCTGCTCAATCCCTTTGGCGTGCCTCCTTCTCTCACCGTCTCCACTGCTCGTCGCGGGGTTGAGGGCATGCGGGGTTGAGGGCATGCGGGGTTGAGGGCATGCGGGGTTGAGGTGAGGGCATGCGGGGTTGAGGGCATGCGGGGTTGAGGGCATGCGGGGTTGAGGGCACTCCTTTCCTCACCGTCTCCACTGCTTGGCGCTTTTTGAAATCGCCATCTCCTTTCCCCCCCGCCTCTCGTTCTCAGCCCGGTTGTGTCCGTTTACCCTCTCCTGCTGCGCCTGCCAGGGCACTGCCTGTGATCAGCAGCAGGGGTGCATGGAGCACAGCAGCAGTTAATCAGCTGCACTGTTTTCGCTCCCTTTCCCTCCCCCTTTCCTTCTCCACCCCCCTACCTCGCCCACTCCCCCCCCCCCCCCGCCTGCCTTCCCCCTCTCCCACCCCCCTCGCCTGCCCTCCCCCTCTCCTCCCCCCGTCCTCCCGCCTTCCCCATATACTCCCCTCTGTCCACCGCCTCTGCTCGCAGGTGGAGGCGGGCTTCACGCCGTCGCGCCCGCTGCTGCTGCGCCTGCGGCGGCGCTGCCTGTGCTCCGGTCTGTCCGAGGGCGTGGCGCGCGCGGAGGGCGTGCTGCAGGCGCTGCGCTTCCGCACCATCAACGCCGACGAGCGCCGGCGCCGCCTCCACCTCGCCCACCTGCCGCCCTCCGTGGCGGACCCCCGCCTTGCTGCCCGCACGCAAGGCAGGGGGCAGCGAGAGGGGGGGCAGCGGTGGGGGAGGCGGCGATGGGAGCAGCAGGGGCAGCAGGAGCAGCAGGGGGAGCTGCAGCAGCAAGCGTGGCAGGAGGGGCGGCGGCAAGAGGGAGAGGCAGGTTCACCTGGTTTGTGACCTTGGACAGCTTCAGCAAGAGAGAGAGGGTAGGCTTTCTGCTGGCTGACTAGCGTCGCATGTGGATGGGAGGGAGTGTTGGCCTGTGAAGTGATGTACGGTAGTATACCCCTGGCTGGAAGACCAAGGGGGTCTTATTCTAGTACCGTATGGCCCTGGATATACCGTCATACCCCGGATATACCCCCATGGGGGGCAATAATAAAACAGGTTTTTTTTAGGGGGGTGGGCTTATAATCGAGTAAATTTATAAGCGCCGGCGTTTATAAAACGACAAATATAGTTAATATATTTTTTAACACCAAGCTGTAGATCTCGTGCTTGCCTTTTCAATCGAGTCGAAGTTACATGGGGTCGTCTGTGAAATTCTCGCGCGCACTGGGAGATACACCAAATCTGACAGCTCCTGACAGCTTCTGACAGCTTCTGACAGCTCCTGCTGACTGGACCCGCATCCAGTGCAGGGTCCGAATGTGAAGGGAACCGAATCTGGAGACATCCGCCTGCTAAAGTAAATTTCGTTACAGCGTTTTGAACACATTTCAAAAATTAAAGTTTACGTGCGCTTATAATAAAACAAGTTTTTTCAAGAGGTGCGCTTATAATCGAGCAGCGGATATAAGCGCCATGCGCCAATTAAAAGCGCCAGGCGCTTATCCGAGGGTGGCGCTTATATCCGGGGTATGACGGTAGGCGCCGGCCTATTACAGGCGCCGGCGCTTCTATCTGGAGCATGGCGCTTATGGCCGTTCCTCAATTATAAGCGCCCCCCCTTTTGTACCCTTCCTTATTATAAGCGCCACCATTATTTTTTTTTACTAACAAACTAAAACATCATTTCGAACCACGGTACGAGGACTTAAAAAAACACTACACTATGCTATACAGCAGGCCCCTTGGGGCGCTTTTCTACCTAGGTGTTACACTACTCCTCGTTAGATTCGGGCTCCAGGCAGTTGTTGCCAAAGAAGCCGTCGGCGATGATGTAGTCGTAGACATCCACTTCCGCTGACAGCTGAGTCCGCCTGTGCGCCATGGCGAAGTGGTCCTCACTGCCGTCTAGTGCGTTGCTAATGCCGCAGGTGAGGAAGGCGCGCTTGACGAGGTCGGAGGGTACTGGTTTCCATGCCCGTGAGATCCAGCGAAGGACCACTGCTGGGGGGGGCTTCCTGAAATTCCCTGCACCACCGCATAGACACCTGGGAAATGGTATTCAGCAGCCAAGGGTGGGAGGGAGGGATTAGGCATGCGTAAACTACGGGTACAACGTACCTGCTGCTGTCAGCTGCTCTTGGCCCTCCTCCTCAAACCACTTCTGGTACTGCTGCCGCACAGATGCCTTGAAGCTCTTGTTGATGGAGACGTCGAGCGGCTGAACTTCAGCCGTACATCTCGACGGGATAACTGCAGGCACGCAGTTGAGCTCGCGGAACTTCTCCTTCACCCCCTCAGTAAGATGGCCGCGGTACGAGTCCAGCACGAGCATGGAGCTCTTTGCACACCTGCCAAATCGGGGCTTCAAGAACGGCTTGACGCACTCGTCAAGCCAGCGGATGACGCCTTCTGTGTCCATCCACCCCTTCTCGTGGCATGCGACGACCACATCTGTACACACAGGAGGAACATTAACTGTTAGCGCGGCATGAGAAACAACAGCATACGGTAAGACAGCGGCAGTTGCTATATCTTACCTGGCGGAAAGTCGCCCTTCGGAACCGTCTTCCTCTTGAAAAACACCCACGGCTTGAGCTTCACCCCGTCCGCCGTGCACGCCAGCATCACGGTCACACGCTCCTTCTGGTAGCCTCCACTCCTTATGGGCACCGACCGTACGCCCGTCTGCTCGACGGTGGTGGTGGCGGGCATCTCCAGCCACAGCGGCGTCTGGTCGGCGTTGATGATCCAGCAGTTCTCGATGTTGCGCTCGCGACGCATGGCTCGCACAAAACGCCAGAACAACTTGCACTACGCCTCGACATTTGTGAGACAGGGGATGAGCAGGCGGGATAGACGGCAGGTTAGTACGTGAGAAAAAGAAGGGGATATAAAAGCGGTGAACGAATTTTTACGAGAGGCAGTTTTCTGGGCAACCCGCGTCTTCATGCGGACGCTCAGATTCCACCTTTTCCGAAACCGCTCCGACCACCTCTGACTCCCACGCCATTTGTCGTGAGGGTAGAGGATCTTCATGAACTCCCGCGACCACTCCCGCAAACGGCTGACGGAAACGGCGGTTCCTTTGCGGCGACAGTCCAGGAGCCGCTCGTACATCTTCAACTACATCGGGCGGTACCACGAGGCCCTCCCTCGACCATGCATGCGCTTCCGTGCGGAGTGTGCTTCTTTGAGAAACGCCGCTGCGGCCTTCCGGTTGGCGAGACACTTTCGGTGAATCCCAAGCTCCCGGGCCAGAGAGCGCACCGTCACCGTCCCATCCATCATCGCGACGTACTTCAACTTCTCCGCGGCGGTGTAGCCCTTACGCTTGTGCTCGCTAATCTTGTGCCTGGGAGAGGGTGTTGTGTGATGCTATCATTCGCATTCGCATATGTCTGCCTCCCATCATATGTTCGTGCGTTGCATGCGTGGTGTGAGCGTGTGCAAGAAATTTGTGTTTTGTGTGGTTTGGATTTTCTGAGTGTGTGTGAATGTTATTTGGCTTGAGCAGATATCTGAAGTGACTCCTCTGTTCAAGAGCTTTCCGACGAACCAAGAATCGCCGCGATCGGAGCAAGAACGAGAAAGTTATGATCGTTCGAAGTTTTGATTGGGATGCGGCGACTATGGGAATTTGTGGAGTGACTCAATATGGGGTATAGACTTTTGGGGGTTGGGAAATTCGAACCCATCACTGTAGATGCTGCCATGTGGTTGGGAGAAGCCAAACCAGGTTGGCAAGTGTGGCCAAGTGGGGTGAGGTGGATGGCATGGGTTGGGAAAGTGACAAAAGTAAAAGTTGGGTTGCCTATGGAGAGGGGAATTGTGTGGCATGGGGTTTCTTTGGTTGGGGACTCCCTTGGGACCTTCCCTCTCGTCCTCCCCTTCCCTCCTACCTGGTTTTCTAGCTACTCTAATCCTCTTTGTGGTACTTGTGAGAACTTGTGAGAGAATTATTATTGAGTTAAGTTTCTATGGCAGCTTACCCCCTAGTGCGCCGAAATTGATAACTCGACTTATACTCCACCTTTGGACACAATTCAAATTGGGAAATGTAGCTACGGTCTAGAGCTACAACATACTCGAGTTTAAGATAATTCTAACGGTGCAAGTTTCGTCGACGGCGTTTCTTGTGAAGTCGACATTTCTGTCCAGAATTTCAAACCAACGATTTTGATAAATTTGGCCTCCTAATCTTCGTAGACTCAGTCCTTGATCCCCAACAAGTGGTATCAGAGCTGATTGAGGACTTTGTGGGGAGTCTACTGAAGTGTGAAGACCCTCCTAGACCCACCATGGCCTGTGGGCGTGCCTAAGTGGAGCTCTGGAGGTTGGGAGTTACTTCCGCTAAGGGGAAACTCTGTCGAAATTTCGTTGGCGCCGACACTTGTGAAGATCTTGTGGATCTACATTGTGACCAGCAAAGGGGGGAGCTGAAACCTGTGATTGGGAGCAGAGGAGATGAGTGGAGAAGCAGCTGATAAGAAGAGTGAACCGCCACCGTCCAAGATCGAGGCTTTGGACGGCTCCAACTATGAGGAATGGAGCGGGCGGATGCGGAGCGCTTTCAAGCGCTATAAACTGCTGAAGCTTGCGATGGGAGAAGAGAAGATGCCGGAGGAAGGTGATGCCCGCGATCGATGGATTGAGCGGAGCGCGGTCCTGTACGATGTTTTTCTCCAATCGGTCAACAACGACATGTTCCAGCATATCAAGGTTTTGGTGGAGTTGGACGACTCCGGACCAAAGGCGTGGAAGCTGCTACACGACATGGTACAACCCAACACGCTGCCGATGGTGATTGTGCTGGAGAAGGAGTTGGCTTCCCTCTC